GGAGTTTTGCGCATCGTGTGTGTGTGTGCGTGCATGCGTGCGTGACTCACCATGTCTTTGATACTGCCCAGTACAGCAGTGGTCAGGATTCCACACACGAAGGCCAGCAGGTTAAGCGTGGTTAAGACCCAGAGGAGAATATACAGAGAGAAGACCTCCTGACAGCTCTGCACACCAACAAACTCATAGTAATTATTCAGATATCCTCCACTGGAAAAGAAAGTAAGCAGGCAAATCATTGTCATGGTATTACATGTCTATGTCTACAGGTTGGTTTATGTGCTATTTCATATTAATAACTTATTGATATTAGACATTCTGAAGAAAGTGTAAGTGTAAAACTCACTGTCTGTAGTGCAAATGGTATGAAATGAGTTATGTGCTATTTGTAAAACTTTCATTTAAATATTTGAAGCCTTAACTCAAAGTATGAATAATAGTAATAGAGATACTTGCAAAAACTAGCAAAAAAACTACTAAGAGTGAAATGTTGCTCTCTTTTATGCTATGCAGTGGACTAATAACTTTTATTGCATTATTGTTGCGTGTTTACTTAACGTATCTGCACATGTCTTCACAAATATGAATTACTTACTTGGCGCAATCATACAAATCACAACAGTAACACGTTCCACTGCGAATTTTCATATTACAGGACTCTGTTAGTCCTCGACAGGGAACCTACAAAACAATTGAGTGTGTTTTAGAAATAAAACATTATGTACAAAACTCTCTTTTTTATATAAAAACAAACTTTTGTGCACACATTTTCATCCACCTATCTCTTCTTCATTCAACTTTCTTCACATTAATTACTATTATAATAACAAAGTACGATGCTAAATAAATGTATCAATTCATCCATCAAGGACCTAAATCAGCCTAAATTGAGGACGTTTGTCCTTGTTATTTAATCTATAACAAGATTATTATCTTGTGTGCATGTTTTATAAATATATTAAGTAATTGCAGGTAGGCATGCAAATGTATTTTACAAAGCTGACTTGACTCACTGTAGCGTAGTAGTTTTCATAGATGTAACTATTTCCACTTGTGTAGAACTGACATCTTCCTGCCTTCACTGGACGCATATCCTGTTGGCAGAGTGTAAGAAATGTCCTCAGTTTGGCTTTTTCCTTGGAATTGTATTGCAAATTTTTTTCTTTATTACAAAAGATAGAGATACAGTAGAATACCTTTTGTTTGGAAAGGCTTCTGTCGCCATCTGCCATTTCAATCTGTCCCACTGTCTCAGTTTGTATCTCTGCCTGCCTTTTACACACCTCTGTTTGGAC